GTATGTATGTGTGTGTATATATATACATATATATAAATATAGTTCTTTTTGTGTTGCAAAAACTGGAATTCAGAACCTTTTCTCAAAGACCTGCTTATTCTCTGTGTACCCACTATGTGCCTCATAGATTTACACACTAATTAATCACCTTGATTTATTATTTATGACAGTCTTTGGTTATAGAGATCTATTACAACTAAGATCTTGTGTGATAATTGGAATACATTACTATGAAGTCCTATACCTTCAAGAGAGTCTATCTCTGTTTCTTCACTATCTCAAAGAGTTTTTTTTCCATTTCTGGTTCACTTCTCATAAACCAAGATAAGACAGCTCCTATAATGAGACTAGCCCTCTAAATCCTAGCCAGAGTAATCTCATCTTGCTATGAGCTTCCATCTAGCTGTTTTATGTGCCAGAGTGTAGACAAACAAGCCATCCTTTCCATGGTGGAGCCAGCAGAAACCCTGATTTAGACAAGTACCATGTACTAACACAAAGGGAACTATTGCAGAGTTTGATTTTGTCTATGCCTTATGTTTTCTGAACCTACAGTCACAATTACGACTTTAACACTAAGTAGTACCCCCAACCTATGTTTGCATCAATTCTACTGTAGACTTATGAAATAGAAGATTTTAAAGTGGAGGCCAGGAAGGGTGAGCAACTTCTGGAAAAATGCAGCTGCTGTGGTCATCCACCATTCCCTAAGTAACTCCTAATAAACTCATTTCACTCATCAAGATGAACTTGAATGAGTCACTTTTGGACTGTTCAAGCAAATCACAGTTGGGGTTATGATGTTAATTTTACATCTCCAACAGAAGGTCATGCACCAGCTGAAAGGTCTCATAGCTCATTGAAGCACTGCCATCCATTTATCAGCAGATTCCAGGAGCCTGTGAACCAGAGTTATTCTTCTAGACACAGGCTGCACAGGATATTGACACCTAGAGTTGCATACTCTGCCCTACGCCTTGAGACCACACCTGGATGCAGCATTTGTGGACACAACATGAGAGCCAGAAGAAGATAGGGGAAGAACTAGGATTCTAATCTGAACCGACCAAAGCTATTTCCTAGGCTGGACATTATGAGTATCAATCATGGCCATTTTATCTATCATGGTCTTAGTTTGCCCTTTTCCATCCAGCTTACACCTGCTACCTTAGTCCTGAAGTCATGTTTTCTATTCTGAGAACTCTTCTATCATCCCCCAGTTTACCACACAGAGAAGAACTGAGGAATGCTTACATATTTGTTTTCAGTGTATATAGTCTGTGAAACACATAGCAATCAAAATAAATGTAGTATCGCTCCAGGCAACATACAGGATGGAAACTAATAATGCAAACACAACTTCAAAAGATTACAAAAACTGTGATGTTCTCTTCTAAATTGAAAGACACTGAACAATATACAGTTTAAATGTACATAGATGTATCAGATACAGGTAGTCTGAAAAGTGGATTGATAGAGAAACATATCTGTCAGTTAATAGAGAAAGAAAAATAAACTCTGGCAGGCATAATTCAGGATTCCTTTCCTATTTTATGATCAACCATGTCACAAGTGAAATGGTTGACATTTGTAGGTACACATCATCAGAATGAGACATCTTTAGTAAACCATTTAGACCTTTCACCTGCTGTGTTTGTTATCTGTAGCCAAAAATTAGAGTAGAGAGGAACAAGAGGCTGATTTGGACAGTCTGCACTTGTTCCATACATTCACAAATCACCATTCCCCAAAAGTCTCAGCTACGTAGAGTCCATTCAGTTGCTTATGATTAATCCTATGTTCTTGGTTCAAGGATCTATTGGAGAATTATCCCCCAAAGAGACAAAAGGCAGAGCTTGGGAGATAGTTAAGAATGCTTTCTGATCATAATGAGGACCACAGTTTAGCTCCCAGCACCCAAGTCAATCTGCTCACAGCAACCTGTGAATTGAGATTTGACACCCTCTTATGGTCACTGGGGGCTTCCTTATTCAAGTGGACATACTTCTACAAAGCTATACCTACACACATATACATAATTAAAAATTAACACTAAATCACTCTTTTAAAAGACAAATAGTAAGGAAGCATGCATCATTAAACAGGACTGATGTTTGTGTAATTGAAACCTGAAAACTATTTGCAAAGGAACCACCCCCATGTCCTTTTAAAAATGTTGGTTCTGAGTGTCCCAACTGAATCTGATTGTGTAGCTTTGTAATATCTGTGCCAGTTTCTTTGACAACCTGAAACAACTGATGGCTCAAACAATAAACTTCTATTTCTTGTATTCTGTCATCTGTGAGTCCAATATCAGGGTGCCAAAAGGGCCAAGCTTTTAACTAAAACTATTTGCCTGATCTACACAAAACCATCTTTCTGGTGTTCCCTCAGAAGGTGGGTCAGGAAGCTAGCTAGCTCTCTGGCTTCTTATACAGGCTACTAAATTAATTTTTAGCACCATGATGTAATTAATTATGTCCCACACAAAAATTCCGTTCATACCAACCCTCGGTGATTCTGCATCACTTTACCATTTGAAGCCACAATCAGGAACACCTCCATCTTCATTGCCTATCTATGATACCACTCAATGTCACTTGGACATTTACCAGCGTGTCTTTATATCTGTATTCCACATTACCAACTCTGGTGCAGGCTCACTGATTGCTAGCAATGGGAATCATAACGTCTATACACTCATGGTATGTCAGAAGGGTCAGTTTGAATGTTAGTTTTCATGTTTGGTAGAAACTACACTCATGATAGAAATAAATGGCTTGTTTTTGGTGTCATGGTTTGTACAACCCTGGCCTTCCTTTGCCACTCACTGAGAGAAAGGTGCCTTCATGAACATGGTCCTGGCAGGGCAATACCAAGCAGTGATCAAGGTACCATATGGTAACCAGGTACCTTCTGGAGGTTGGAATCTTTCTTGTCTATGGACAGTGTTCCTTCTGCAACTGTCTTTTTGGAAGAGAAAATATATTTGGTTGGGCGAGTAAGGAAACAGTCTAGAATTAATATGGAGACTGAATGAAGAAATGGGGTGGGGCAAAAATTGGTGGCTTGTTGGCTTGCATTGGTGGTATATTTCAACAAGTCTATTAATTTCCTAGGAAATAGCAACCACTGTGTTTTGCATAAAAATATCAAAGCCAAAACATCCTTTCAATATACTATTCTGAGATTTTGCTGCTGGTGGTCAGAATGTTCCAACATAAAGCTTATTTTACAATAAAGCTTGAGCTACCTTGTTATTTCTTAAATACCTATATCTATATGGCCACCTGTGTCCTGGGTCATTACAAAATTATATTTTATGACCCCTCCCAATTGCTATCCTTCTGTGACACAGCAGTAAATTGATCTACCTTCTAGAATCCAAGCAGAAAGAAAATCTCCAACTCGGTTCACTATATAGTAAGGCTTGTATGTGTCAAAGCCATGTGGCTACCCTGTGTTGTGAAATAGAATATCTGTTTAACTATGTAAAGATGTGTTGCATTTGCTTGTGTTGTAGAATAATTATTTATTTAAGGATCTGTTGCATTTGTTTAACTATTATAAGATGTGTTTCTGTTTTGCATTGCCTGCCTAAGTCATCTGATTGGTCTAATCAAAATCTGACCAACCAATAGTTAGGCAGAGCAGGGATAGGCAGGGCTGTCAGGCAGAGAGAAAAGGGGAACCAAACATGGACGGAAGCAGGGAAGTAGAACATACAGACTGAAAGAAAGGTAAAAGACTCCAAGGCAAAACATAAAGAGAAAAAGTTGAGGCTAAGTTATAAAAGCTAGTGGGACAAGCATAAGATGAGGTCAAGCATCCATAATAAATAAGTCTCCATGTTATGATTTGGGGGTTGGAGGTCTGGGAAAGCCTGCTACAGTCCTGGAACTGTAGCTTGCTTCCACTGCCTAGCATCAAGAGAGGGGATCACATCACTACATCAAGAGAAGGGATCACACCACAGAATCGAGAGAGGGGATTACACTACAGCATCAATTGAGAGGATCACATCACATCACAGCATTGAGAGGGGAATCACACCACAGCATCAAGAGAGGGGGTGATACCTGATACCTCAGATTTCTAGCCCAGGCACAGCAAAATTCAACACGTAAACTATGGTTTCTATTGAAAATTTCGGCTTTTCCACAACCGTAAAGCTGAGAAATTCTAAGTTTGCCCATTGACATATGATGTGCTTACGTCCCAACAGACCCACCATAAATTGAAAATATCATAAATCAAAATTGAACTTAGCAAGCTCAACCCACTGTAATAGACACTTGTGTCTTTTTCTTTTGGCTTACCCACTCTATGTTGCTCCTCTCCCCTCTCCTTCCCTCCCTCTCTTCCCCTCTGCCGTGGAAATCAAGACAAAAGAAAGTATAACAAAAAACACTCTGCTCAACATCCAGAATGCACAGCTCCATTCAGACATGCCCCTTGACCATGCAGAAAGCCAGATCCTCTTTGAAGCCTGGTGACCAGGAAGTAGAGAGAGAGGCAGACAGGGCTGATAATGTTTAGTGTCAGCCAGTACATTGTGTAGTTCCTCCTCACCAGCTCTGGAGAGGTGATGGTATAAAGAACACCGACTGGGCTTGAACTGGGAAAGTGCCTCTTACTGATCCCAAAGGGCAGAGGAAAGAGGCTGCGCTGTGCCCCAGTGGCCCCAATACCTGTGATACACATCCTGTCACCCCTAGCAACAAGCCTCAAAGACAGCTGCACTGTGATGGCCTGACTTGGATCAGTGCTCCAATGAGAACTGACAAGTTCACAGCTCTGTGCTCAGCTCCCCTGAGTCACCTACAGTAAGCCAAGAAGGTACTGCCCCCTGTTCTCAGTGTGCGGAGTGAGGCTCATCAGAGTCCAAAACCCCTGTGCCCACCCACAGTCCTCAACCGCCAATGGGCTTTGTTCTCAAAGATGATACTTGAGAGTGATTGTGACCTCTGCAGGGGGAGGAGACAAACCTTGCCAGAGCAGCTTGGCCTGGCTTTGTTGCCTGAACACTCGGTACCTGGCCTGTGTGTGTGGCTCTGGTGGCTTTTCACAGCCTGCCAGAGAGAGCACTGCATTGTCCTGTGTGGATATTAAAACGAACACAGCTGCAGATGGCCTGCCTCAGCAGCAAACGCCAGGCATTCTTGCACCCTCCAGGTGCGAAGGAACTTCCAGGACCTGAAGCTGTTTAGGTGAGAAACGCAATGGGATGGCTGAGAATTGGCCCTGCTGAGGTGACCCCTGAACCAGTCCCTCTAGCGAGTGGAGATAAGTGGGGTCAAACAGCCCCTTCCCCATGCCACTCCATGAAGGCACAACTTGATATTTGAATCTAAAGGTTAATTAAGTGCAGCTGCCAGGCAGAAAGGCCACAATCAATTACCATGTCTTCCTGTCCATTTCAGCCTATACTTAATTATGTTCATTGGGTTTGGGAGGGAGGTCTTTCAGCTGAGGCTTTTAAAGAGGGAGCTATTTTGTTTGGAACCGATGAATTTGTCCTCCAAGACTATAGCATTCATCTTCATCAACTCATGGTGTTCAACTGGCCTGTGTGTCCCAAAGAGAAGGGGACTGGACAGAGTCAAGCCAGCATTTCTGGATGGCTACAGAGTGAAGGGCTTCCTTGCAGGGCCTCCCTAGTATAAATGTCACTGCTCTTGTTATCAGTGGGGGCTCAAGACTGAATTGTCTTCCCTTGTAGTGCTGGGAAGCCCAGACTTGCATTATGACTGAGGACCCCCTTAGCCATGGTGGACAGGCCACAAGCACATGTATGTTCACCTGTGTGCACGTGTGCACATGCAGATCCCCTCGTCATAATTAACTATTTAAAATTCCACTGCTGCTAATCGAAGCTGCATGGGCTGTGTTCTCATTAAGGAGATCAATGCCTGCTGAATATTCACCTCCAGGGGAGGATGTGGTAGGAATGAGCTGATGGGTTCTGTCTGGCCCTGCCAGAGCTAATGAGTGGCTGCTGCCATTACAAAGCAGTCACTTGCCCGCAATCAGTCAAAATAATAAGCCCCAGCTCCTTGTGGTGACTCTGGGTGTTCCACATAAATATACATAGAAAGACAGTTGCAAAGATGGCCCGCACATCTCAATGAGCATGGCTGGGGGTGTGGCCTCCGAGATTGAAATGGATTAGAATCATCTTGATTCGGAGCCTGAATCTACTCTGGCCCATTTTCTCTTTGCCCTCTGTCTTTCCAGCCCTTCCATTGTAGGCTCTCCATGGGGCTGTCTGGGATGGTCGTGAAAGACGTTGGCTATCTCTAAAGCTAGTTGATTCTACTTTCTAGTCTCTGATTCAATGGGATCACCTCCAAAGAAACCTCCTGAGGAAGTAAGAGAGCTCCTACTCTTTAGATGTTTCCTCCCCTACATTCTTTCTTCTCCTGTTCTAGAAATTCAAATGTTTTCAAGACAGATCACAAACAGTTCCAAAGGTCATGGCTCAAAAACATGAATACAACATAGGGTAGTCATGGGAACATCATAGTGTAGTTTTGTAAGTTTTGGAGATGCAACCAAAACAACAATAAAACTGCTGCACAACCAAAATAAAATTCAGAAAAAAATCCCTCTTAAGATTCCAGCCCACAAACAACAGTCACAACTTATTCTACTATGAAGCTTGTTTTCCATTTCAGAAAATCTTGCATCCTGAACAAAGTTTAGCTTTTGACCTTGGGTTTCCCTGTCCCCTACTTCATACACACAGACACTGTAAAGGCTGTTCTGAGCTGCATCTGACATGAGGCTCAGGATCCCGTTACACTTGTGCCCATGCCTTGCTATATTCTCCTGTCTCTTTACCATAGAATCCAATCCCTGCTGACACCTTCCTTCAGCTGTTTTCAGGGTTCATTATTGTTAAAGGCAGGATTTTCTCAATAGTAATTAGGAATTCTGTATCAGCTAGAGAGAAGATAATCAGGTGGCCAAGGATTGCATGGCTTCCTCTCATGCCACAAACAGGTGGGAGAGGCTTGCTCACTTCAAGGTATGAACCGCATGCCAATGGAGGAAAAGTGATGATAAGTGGATGTCATCTCTAATATCATCTCCCCGAGTCAAGGCTGGGGATAGTAAGGAAACAGGAGATGGCAGCTGGTGCCATTCGGTATTGCAGCTCCCTCATTCTTTGATCCATATCAGCCATTAAGAAAGGTAATTAAGCCAGTATCTTGCTCACACAGCCAACAGTGAGCTGGTCGAAAATAATCTGCACCCAGAGCACAGCCAAACAGCACATCCGATTGCTGACATCGGAGGACACTGAAGTATCCACGTACCTGTGACAAGGCTGTGACTGGCTTTCTGTGCCACAGAAAGTACCCAGCTGGCTGAAGGTTCTCTTAGCAAACACAGACACTGATCTGCATACTCGGGAAGGTCAAAGTGGAGAAGGAGAAGCACGAAATGAAGTCACAAGTGAGAGAAAGTCACTGGCATTCTGTGCAGTGCTGAATGTGTGGGGTGGGAAAAAACTCTGTCTCTAATTAGCAGGAGGCCCTGAAGGACTCACCCTGCTTTTTCTGACCTGGGTTGAAAGGAGCCAGACATTTCTTTGTTGATAGAAATAACAAGAATCTCATGTCCAAATGGTAAGGAAAAACAGTCTCCTACAGTAAACACTGGAGATAAATAACATACCAACCCAGTTGGCAAAGTCCAGGGAAAGGAAACTTAACAGAGAGGCTCATTCCTCTTTGCACTCGGGCCTTTCCTGAGTTTCTTGTTTTGCTCTATAACTAATCACCGTATTTTTAATGTTTCTAATACTATTCAACCAAGGTGAAAGTAAAAATAACAAATAAAAATAAACAACAACAACAAAAAAACAGTCAAAATTAAGGATCCAGTTTCTGGGTGGGAATTAGGTATCTGTGGCATAAGAGCAATCCCCCTGGCCACTTGTTATAAAATGGAAGAGTGCCAAACTGACTGGACCCAGACCAACCTTTGAACTTGATCCACCACGTCGGGCAGCCATTGTGCCACGCCCTGCTCCCAGCAATTAAGAAAGGAAGGAAAGAGCTGTTTGAAAAAGGCATGCTTAAGGGTGTGGGACCATTATGGCAACACAGGCAATGATGCTGTAATGGGAAGCCTACCTGGGGACAGAGATTAAGCACACCTTTGTACACATATGGCACATATCCCAACAACACAATCAGACTCATTCTTCTTGTTTTTCAGAACTTTAACACCACATTCAGGGATGATAGTTACTTAAGACAGGATCCTTTGATGCTGACCCGGTAAATTGGTCATAAGGCTCAGTGTCATTAGCAGGCGCAGAACAGGTACATATTAGGACAGACAGCTTAGCTTCACTCCTCCCAGGTAAGTCCAGTTGTCTCCTTAAGATTGCATAGGTTGGTTGTGATGCTTTCTCAGTGTCACAGACTATGGTACAGCCCAGCAGTGAAGCCGGACAACCTCTGCATCTCACCTTCGGGGTATGTGATTTCTCCATATGGCATTACTACATCCACAGAGCACTTCACAATGCTTGGGGATGAAAGGAGTTATAAAGGAAAGATATTATTATTAATAAGAATGTAGATGAACAAAGGGAAAATGTACTCGCCCTCACTATCCATCACCTTAGCACACTTCACCCGAAGCCCAGGATCTGCAGGAGCCTCAAGGAAAGCCTATTTGCAGAAATCAATAACTGCTTTTTAAAAAATAGATCTCAGCTCCAGTGGAGCCGACAACTCAGGGGTACCTCATAATTCTATGCAACAGTCAATATTAGCTATCACTGCCTCAAATAAAGATTGAATTCAAATTTAGTTAAGACCAGTTTTGTATGCTAATCTACCAACTGATTATTAAATGTATTTACTGAGGGTGTTGAAAAATAGGCTGTTGGGAGAGAAAAAGGGAAGAGCAGCCTGAGTGGGTTTATTCAATGTGAGCAGTGATGGCTTCTCCTGCTTCTTACAAAATTAACTCTTGGGGAAATTGAGTTTCATTCTGTGGGTGGCAAGAAGCATAGCTACTCTATGCATCATACAGTGAATGAGGAAGCAGAATCACAGAGTCATTCCACAGCATTGATCCAGCCCAAATGTCCACAACTACTTGTGCAGAATGTTGAGTTTTGTTTCATGATGTATAACCAAGACAGCAGTAGTCAGTGCCTTCCTTTATATCCTTGTGGCTGCAGGAGAAACAAAGTCAAATTCTGGGATTCACATGAGTGTGTGTCACAGAAGTTTGTAGGTGTGGACTTTAGAGCCCCAATTTAAAAGGCTTGGGGACCAATGTAGAATTTGGTAGCTACGGATTCCGGGATATTTGCATATATGAAATTTCTTAGGCTGTGGGCCACAAATCTAGTTCAAAAGTTCCTTAAGTTTGATACACACATTATAAGTTGAAAGAAGTTTTACACATGAGCGTTACTGAGTCAGTGTTATGACTGTGATCTGTCATGAGAACTCACATGAGGAATTAGCATTTGTGAGATGCAGGTTTTAAAATGTTTCAAGATGTCAGGTGTGAAGCGCAGTGGGCCATGAGTGCTGTGCATCTACAATTCCTGCTCCTCCCACAGAGACAAGTTGCAGCTTTTGGAGCATTTCAAATTTTTGAATCAGGGGTTCTCAGCCTTCATTAGGAGGGGGCATTCAATTTTATTTTTAAGAGAAGAATGGAATACAGAGAATGGAGATCTCTAGAGCAAGTCCGAGGAGCTGTGAGAGTACACATGTCCCCTTGATAGATGGAATGCACTGGTGAGGAGAGAGACACCAGAGGAGGTATTGACATGGAGGCACTGTAGGTCATGCACACTCAGGAAGAGAAGAAGCCACTTACCCAATAGAGAAGGCCACATGTCACAGTGTATATGATGTACAATGCAGAAAATTTTCCCAGTGGAATTGAGCCTGCAGATCAGCAGTAGACGCTCTTCTCTGCCATGCATGAAGCCCTGGGTTCAACCTCCATCATTGAAAAAGGTCATTTGTCTGATATAATGTACCCTTGTCATGAAATTTGTGTACAACAAAGAACTACCCGAGTGCTTGTCCTATGAATATCTGATATAGTTGCTAAAGCATGCCAAGCAAGACTTTCTAGATGATTATGATGATGATGAAGATATTTGATCAATAAAAGATTGGAAGGCAATTCTTATTCTGCTTGCTTTTACCAGCTCTTCTCC